CTCCAGAGGCTGTCCTCCAGAGGCTGTCCTCCAGAGGCTGTCCTCCAGAGGCTGTCCTCCAGAGGCTGTCCTCCAGAGGCTGTCCTCCAGAGGCTGTCCTCCAGAGGCTGTCCTCCAGAGGCTGTCCTCCAGAGGCTGTCCTCCAGAAAGTGCACTCCAGAAGCCACCCAGAGGCCGCACTCCAGAGGCTTCCAGAGGCGAGCTCGTGACCGCGGCGACCCGTTTTGACCTGAAGCTCTCCTGCCCTGCCCGGCACAGCCCGGCCCTGCCTCTCCTTTCCGTTTTCCGAGGCGCCTACCTGGCCGACCCATTGGCATTGGCCGACCCATTGGCCGACCCATTGGCCGACCCATTGGCCGACCCATTGGCCGACCCATTGGCCGACCCATTGGCCGACCCATTGGCCGACCCATTGGCCGACCCCAACGGCACTGCACTACACTTTGACCCCGAAATCCCTTCCTTCCCTTCCCTGCCCTATGGTAATGCATAGGTGAAAGTAAGTGCGTCGGGATCAGCTGATGCATGTGCCGGTGGCCGTGGCGGTCTCGGCGGCGGTCTCGGTGGCGGTCTTGGTGGGACAGTGCCCCGGTGGAGGGGACGACGCTGCGGTGGCAGCGAGTCAACCGGCGGCGGCCCACAGTGGGCTAGAAGACCGGTGGAGGCGGTCAAAATGCAGGACGCGTTTTGAGCTCCAGAGTCGCTAAATAGGCCTCGACCTCGACCCGAACGTGTGACCCCACCGATGGATTGCTCTCCGAACGAGGAATCGATTGGTGGGGTCACACGTCCGGTTCGAGTCCTGTTTATCGTCTCTGGAGCTCTGGAGTTTTGGCCGCCTACACTGGTCTTCTGGCCCACTGTGCGGCCACCTGGTGTCGCTCTGTCTCCCTCGCACGCCTATGGGACGCCTCATGAGTGCGAGAGAGACAGGGCGACAGCCTTTCGGAGTCTGGCGGCAGGCGTGTCGCGGGCGGGCGGCGTGCGCGAGCAGGTTGGTGGCCCTCTAGTCCTCCTCCTTGTTGTTGTTGTTGTTGTTGATGTTGTTGTTGTTGTTAAGGGCGTTCTGGGAAGTGAAGGGCGCGGAAGGGCCTGATGCCCCGATTGGCGTACAGCCTACAGGAATCCGGGACGGTCCGCTTTTGGATTGGCGGTCTCCGCGTCGCGGCGTTTTGTTTTGGCGTCGTCTCTCCTCGTTTCGCCCGTTTTCATTTTTGTTGTTGTTTTTTATTTTTGCGTATTTGTGAGTTTTTTTTTGGGGGGGGGGAGCCCGAGCCCACCGCCGCAGCGCAGCCACGCTCGGATCCCGTTCGTAGCCGTCAATAACAGTAAAGGTGTGCGTCGCCAAAAAGAAAGAACGATTGACCGCTTTTGAGCGATGTGTGTCTGCGACGCCTGCGACGCGACCTGGGACTCTGGAACGCACCCGCCCCGTCCCGAAGCCAACAAAGGCGTCCCTAACCCCCCTTACCTAACCCTAACCTAATCGGCGACTGCAGACGCCTCGGCCAGCGGACTGAAGGTCTCTGTCTCTCTCGCACTCGTGCGGCGTAACGGGGGGGTGCGAGAGAGAGGGAGCGACGAAAACGACTTTCGGAATTGGACCCCCAGCTGGCCGGCCGAGCAAGCGCAGCGCTGCAGGCTCAACACGCTCTGTCTCTCTCGCACTCACGGGCGTTCCCTGCGTGGGCGAGAGAGACGGAGCGGCAGTGTTCGGAGTGAGCCTGCAGCTCCAGCATAAATCACCGATAAGTTATACTCCGCATGGCAAAAAATAATTTAAAAAAATACGAGAAAAGCCCTCCCACTTGAGTGCCTGGCCGATGCCCCGAAGCCGTTTGGTGGACGGCGCGGCACGGCAGCCCACACCTTGGCGCGCCACGGCATGTTTGCACTCTGGATGTAAAAGCCCGAACAGTGCCCGCGCGTATCGTCCGTCGTGGCTCTGTCTCTCTCGCACCGAGATGGGTCGCCCCATGAGTGCGAGAGAGACGAAAACGACCCTCAGTCTGCAGGAGCAACAAGTGACAAGGAGAAAGGAGATGAAAGATGTCGATGTCGTTAAAAATTGGCGGTGACAAAGACCGCAGCAGCACGATGCTAAAAAAAAACCACAAACATTTACAGCCGCCGGTTTGCAGTGAACGGGCGACCTGCGTTTTATGACAATCCTCGGTTTGAGCTCCAGCGTCGCTAAACTGTACTCGAACCGAACGTGTCCCGCGTGGAAGGATCTGTAGTTTAGGCTACACTGGAAAAATATAATTTTTTTTGTAATTGTCTATTTAGATTTAAAAGAGAGTTTTCTGTACTTTAAATACAATTAAACTGTTAATTGAGTGCATAAAAATGTAGTCAAAGTAAAGATAAAGTATAGAAAACTATAGTTAAACTGTATAAAAACTACCAGTTATTTCGGACAACTATAGTTTTTGACCCCAGTTTGTCCCACTTGACTATATAGTTCAAAGTACAGTTTTACTGTAGTTTATTTACACAGGTAGACTTGGTTTAAAAAAGAAAAGAGACTGCAGTTTGAATTTTGCGGTCAAAATTCAAAAATAGTAATTTTCGAGCCCTGTTTTGAGGAAACTCTTCCTCCCTCCCACCCCATGGGTAACTGAAGTTGTGTTGATTGTGTTTCTTGGGTGAATGTTGCCGGGAGTTGAACCTCGGACACTTCAGTTGCGAAGCAGAGGCCTTGACCACTGCTCCACTGAGCTTCCATGTGGGACAGGGCTTGGCCACTCGACCACATGGAAAGGCCTGCTATCCCCAGGAACTAGAGTGCAACTGCAAGAAAAATACAGTTTTACTGTAAACTGCTCTGTACTATAAGTAAATTTTGCAAATCCAAGAAGTAATTCGTATTAAGTTTGCCTCTGAAACAAAGAGACCATGAAGTGATTTAATTTAGAGTGCCTTTTCAGTCTTATTTTTCAACGACAGGAGTCGTTACCTTTTTAACTTCTGAGACGTTCTGGATCAAGACGCTTCCTAATTTTTGTTGCGTTTAACATTCAAACACCTGGTTATAATGAGTTTGATGCTTCTTAACTAGAACTTGTTTGTCATCTTTGTCAAACTAGTGACACATTGTGGTTTGTTGATTTCCACGATTCCTTGTCACATAATACCTGACCAATATGGAACGTTATAAAATAATCAAACAGATTACCAGATGGTGTTTTAAAGATTTGGTTACATTCAGTCATGTGTTTTTGTTTTTGCTTTTTTAAAAATTTTAGTTTAGTCGTGTCTTCTAAAAGTCTCCAATGTCCAGTATTTCAACGTAAACTGTTGGTCTGCGCACTTATAACTTCCTAGGCTCATACATTATAATAGAGATAATAGAGACTAAAACCAACCTTTAAAGCTTGAAAATTTTTAAAAGAAATTACTAAAATTTCTAAAAAATATATCTATTCCCATCCTAATATTCTATATTTTAGTTACATTTTATAATTGTTTCTGTGTCTTCATATCAAATTGCAGTGCTTGACTTATCTTTAAACCATGCCTGAAATGCAAAATTACTGCAAATTGTAGTAAACATTCAACTTGCTTGTCATTGTGTATAAAAATGTGACCAGAAACTACATTTGCTTTGTGGATTGTGCTGAAGATACAAGTGTAGGCAGATCTTCAGTAGTAGACTACAGAATTAAAGAATTAATAACTTCCCTTTAAAGTACAGACCGTACTCAATACCTAGTTAACAAATAACAGTTCAGATAGAGTGCAGTTTTAAAGCACAGCAACCTTCAGTTCCAGGAGCAAACTGTACAACTGTACAACTGCACAAGTTCTGAAGTTTGTTCTTACAAAAAACTGCAGTCATCAACTGCAGTTTTGGCACTGTAGTTTAAACTGTAGTTTCACTACAGATCCTTCCACGCGGGGTGACCCCACCAACGGATTCCTCGTCCAGGGAGCAATCCATTGGTGGGGTCACACGTTCGGCTCGAGTCCCTTTTAGCGACTCTGGAGCTCAAACCGCGTCCAGGATTTTGACCGCCTCCACCGGTCTTCTGGCCCACTGTGCAGTAGCGGAGGTGCATCCATCGCAAAAACAAAACAAAAAAAAAAGCGTTGGCCGCGGCGGCGCTTTGCATTGCTTTGCAGTGGCGCCGCGATAACAGCCTGCGCGCCTTTAATTCGAATAAAAGTTTGTTGCAGCCGGAACCAGTGAAACGTTAAACGTAACCCAGCGACAGGACCGGCGGGACAGGCAGCCCGCAGCTCGATTCTCGATGCTCATTGGGCCGATTTAGTACTGCAGCCGGCCAACGGGAAAGGCTAACGGAGTGATGGATCTGTACACCGCCAAAAAACAACAACAACAACAAACTCCAAAAAACAGCAACAAAAATAAACGAATGAGACGCTTGGCCGTTTTTGGGGGGACAGTTTTCGACTCGTTCTGGGAACGACATGTGCGGGCAGGCCCAGGCAGGCCTTCAGAGGGCTTCATCGGACGCTGGGTGTCCTGATCGGTTCTGTCAAGTTGGGTACTCTGTCAAGTGGACTGAACTGGCTGCCGTCTTGGCCAGGGTCTGTCCATGGACTTGGCAAAGTGCGCTTGGACATGGGGGCTGCTGCAGTCAAATGGCTACTTTCGTTCATTTGGCTTATTGAGTAACGCACTTTCTCTGCATTAGTGTTTTTGTCACCTTCCTTGAGTCACTCTGATTATCCGACTGCCGGTGTACGCGGATCGCCTCGTCTCTCTCTCTCTCTCTCTCTCTCTCTCTCTCCTTCTCTCTCTCTCTCTCTCTCCTTCTCTCTCTCTCTCCCTCTCCCCCTCTCTCTCTGCCGGCGTCCCGGCCTGTCATAACGTGACTGAGAGTGAGGAGTCGAGACAGGAGTGGTGCTCCAGGTGAGAGCGAGTCAGCAACAACAGCAGCAACAACTCCAGCACGCCGACCTGCCCACGGCGTGGCGGCGGGGCAGGCAGAGGCAGGCCGGCCGGCGGGCCCAGCCAGGCCAGGCAGCGCCGCAGTCAGGGCCAAGCGCCGCTTCCGCGCAGACGTGCCGTCGACGTGCAGGAGCGCCACCACCACGGCGACCCATGTGGACGTGCTGCACCGCGAGTGAGCGTGCGAGTGCGTAGCAGTGCGTAGCAGTGCGTAGCAGTGCAGCGTCGCGACGACCCAGTGCGCGTGTGTGTGAGTGAGAGAGTGAGAGTGTGTGCGTGCGGCGACGGCGGCGTGCAGGATGTGGTGGACCACCCTCGCCGTGCTCGCAGTCCTCGTGCTCGTGGCGCCGGTGCAAGGTGAGCGAAGAAGTGCGGAGCAGCCGCCGGGGTGCTGTGGGCCAGAGGACCGGCGGCCGAAATGCCAGACGCGTTTTGAGCTCCAGAGTCGCTAAACAGGACTCGAAGCGAGCGTGTGGCCCCACCAATGGATTCCTCGTTCGGAGAGCAATCCATTGGTGGGGTCGCACGTTCGGGCCGAGTGCCATTTAGCGACTCTGGAGCTCGCAGCGCGTCCGGGATTTTGACCGCCTCCACCTGCCTTCTGACGCACTGTGCGGGGGTTGCCAACCCTGCCGGCCCCGCTGGGCCCACCCCCTGCCAAGGGCGAAACGGGTTAACAACGTCCAAAAGCCAAAAACTAATTAGTGCCGAAGAAAAAGGTCAACCGACAGTGACCCAGAGAAGTGCAAGTCAAACAAGTCGCCGAAATGCGTTTTGGTCTTGGTCGCAGGGATGTGAGAACGGCACCTGCCACACTGGCAATGACGGAATAGAAGTGGAAAGCCACGTCCGTTTTACTTTGTGTTTTTTTTTCCTTCTGTTGGTTTGGGTTGCTTGCATGCGGCGCCGCGTCTCGCCCCGCGGCAGCTCACGGACTCATTCCGAGAGTCGTGGCTCTGTCTCTCTCGCACTCACGGGGCGTCCCGTAGGGGTGCGAGGGAGACGGGGCGAGACTCTCGGAATGAGTCCGCTGGCGCGGCCGGCTGGGCGGAGCGTGGGCGTCTCTGTAATTGAGTTATCCAGGGAGTCCAGCGGACGGATCCCGAGAGTCGCTCTGTCTCTCTCACTCTCGTGGAGCGTGCCGTGGAGGTGCGAGAGAAACAGAGCGACGGGGCTCGCTGGGATGCAGAGGCCCGGCCCCGCCTAGCCGGCGCGGCGCGCCTAGTGTGCCATTCGGTTTGGTTCGGTTTGGGCCGGTGTCGTTTGGCGTGGCCGCGGCCCCCGGGGAGTCGAGCCGGCTGCGCCCATGCAGCCTGCGGACTGGGAGTCGTTTCCGACGCTCTGTCTCTCTCGCACCTACACGGCGCGCCCCTTGAGTGTGAGAGAGACAGAGCGACGAAAACGACTCTCAGTCTGCTGCTGGACGGCATGCTTTGTGTGCACAGTGGGCCAGAAGACCGGTGGAGGCGGTCAAAACTCTAGACCCGTTTTGAGCTCCAGAGTCGGGAAGCAGGACTCGAACCGAACGTGAGACCTACCAATGTATTCCTCGTTCGGAGAAGCAGTTCAATGGTGGGGTCACACGTTCGCTTCGAGTCCCATTTGGCGACTCTAGTACTCAAAACCATCAAAACGCGTCTGGAGCTTTGGCCGCCTCCACCGGTCTTCTGGCCCACTGTGGTGCGCCAGGATGGCCGGGACTTGAACAGGGCCCATTCAATCTGGCTGAGGTTCCGGCCTCTAGTACACTAAAAAAAAAAACTAAAACAAAACTTTTTTTTTGCACGAGTACGAATTGCCGGGCCGAGTCGCGAATCGCGGATCCAGACCACACGTACCGAACAAAATAATAGTACACGGGATTGGTTCCCGATTGGATCCCGAGGCCGAGCCGGGCCGAGCCGAGCCGAGCCGAGCCCTCCGGGTTACGACCGCAAAAGGAACAGAGAGCAGCGAGGGAAAAAGGAGGAGGAAAATAGAATAAAAATAGGGGGCACTGGAAAATAAGAGGATGGCTGACTGACAGGTGGTCATAAGAGGGGTCATGCACTCGCCAGCATTGCATGGCTCGCAGTGGGGGAGGTGGGGCTTTGGCAACCTGGAGAGGCAACCTAACAGACAAGGGGCAATCACTGTGAATTTCAGTGTACAAATTCAACGAATTTCAGTCGAATTTCGATGAATTTTAGGCAAAAACGGCTGAATTTTGAGAAGAATTTCGGTGATTTTTTTATTTTGATGAATTTTAATGAATTTTAGTTAATTTTACATGTTTTATGAATTTTTGTGTTGGCTGAAGTTATTTCCCCTTGCTAACAGAGCGAAATGCGATAGTAGCGCGTTGTACTGCTCGAGTTAGGGTAGTTCATGTATCATTCTTTTTGCGGGTGATTGTTACTGATTACGGTGGCACTCAATGGCATTGCCCGCTTCTAGTTGCGTGCTCCACTGGTAGGAGGAAGAACCCTTGCCGCTACCCCGCGCCTGGGTAACAAGTTGGCACTCTAGCCTGTCCCCACGTGGAGTACTGACAGTTTTCTTGTTATCGCCGGTACTCCATACAGTAGGAACCTCTCGCACAGTGGTCCAGAAGACTACTGGAGGCGGTCAATCCCGGACGTGTCTCGAGCCCCAGAGACGCTACATGGGACTCGAACCGAATCCCTACCCATGGATTGCTCTGCGAACGAGAATGCATTGGTGGGGTCACACGCCCGGTCCGAGTCCCATTTAGCGACTCTGGAGCTCAAAAGGCGCCTGGAGCTTTGGCCGCCTCTACTGGTCATCTGGCCCTCTGTGTGTTGACACTCGGCGACATTGATGTGGTTTCCTCTGTGGAGGAGAGAGCAGTGAGGGTCGAAACCAGCGGTCGAAAATTACTTCAAAAATCCATTGACTGGCGTCTTCGCTGAAGGAGCAGCCGCACCGCGGGTTTGCTGTGGACCGATTGTGTCGCTCTGTCTCTCTCGCACCCACACTGTGCACACGGGGCGCCCCACGAGTGCGTGAGAGACCGAGCCGACGCGCTGTCAGCCCGAATCCGACGGAATGAATGAAAAGTAGCCGCAATGCGGAGTCATTTCGGTGAACCGTCGATTCGAAAATCAATCCAAGCAGTGATCATTATTTCTCAGAAGGCCCGGCCCGGGTAAGCCCCCAAGATGGGCCGTGTAGTAAACAGTACCCTGCGCGAATTATTCGGAAACCGTCGATTTAGTGGAATGGAGCCGACACCACCAAGGAGCCTCAACTAATTTGTGCAAACCACCGGACTCCGAATTGCTGAGTTTCAATGCCACGCTGCCCCAGCCAGTCCCTCCTAAAAGGCCCGTGCCCCCAAACATGGCCTGCACCGGACGAACGTATTTTGACAGATTCCATAAAATGCAAGCTTCGCGAAGGCTTGTTCGTATGCGGAGTGCGAGCTTGGCCCGCCCGCCCGACGGGTACTGTTACCGAAAGGGACTCCACGATTCGAGAATTTCGGCACGTACGTGCCAAAGCCTTCTCGTGGACACTGCCAAGAAAAGTGAAACTTTTCCACCATTCTGTACATTAGAAAACAACTTTTAGAAAGTGAAGTGCTATTGTCAGGCGTTTTCCTTCGCAGTTTTTTTTTCGGGTTGTGTGAAAGCCAGAGGACTCCCATGCGTGTCTTGTTCAGTCAGGATAATGCTACTTTAATACACTTCTTCTTCCTTTCCCCAATTTTCTTTTTGTGCGCTGTCGGTGTCACTGGTCCCCAAACTCATTACAGGCCTACACGCGAGTCCTGGAACGCGTATTCCAGGATAATTCCAGGATAACTCCAGGATAATGCCAGGATACCGCAGGATATGTCCGTCCCCTTGTGCGACCGGGCCTGCCACCAGGAACCTGGCTCCAGGACCCTGTCATCAGCGCGTCGGCTGGGCCCACAGCGGAGTACGGCCCAAACCACGCCAACGAAAACCATTGCCTTCGTTTCAAAGACACGGCCATAATTTTTCAAAAAACATTTCCAAAATCGTTTTACATGCGTTTAATTTTAAAAGAGCAACTTGATTTTGTGACCGCGAAATTTTCTTTGTGGTCCTTTTTAAAAACACGCACTTTCACGAAAGAGGGAAGTCCCAGCTCTTGCTTTTGGCGGGAAATTCAAAACGGAACGAAACTAGTGCATAGCAGCGCCGCCTTCTTCTAGTGTGATGCGGCCTTCGTGGCCTTCAGCGTCGCCCTCACGGGAGGGAGAATCATTCGAGCTATTACGGGTCAAGATGTGCGATGCGCGGGTGGGGCTTCTTCTGTTGCACGTTGCATGCCAGCGTACCCGACCAAGGAGCATTTTCGCTCTGTCAGCCGTTCATTTGTATCCAAATGGATTGCTTTGTAGGCGTTCTGAAGTGTGGATTTCGCCCTCGCTGTCACACACTGTGCCATCCAAAGGGGCCGACGTGCGCATGCCCAGCATGTCCAGCCCCGCGGCATGGAGTCAATGCCGCTCCAAGCGCTCCAGGCGGGACGAACGTTGTTAAGTGCCTGGTCCTGGAGGATTTCTTGAGGATTCCTGGAGGGTTCCTGGAGGGTTCCTGGAGGGTTTCTGGAGGATGCCTGGAGGATGCCTGGAGGATGCCTGGAGGATGCCTGGAGGATGCCTGGAGGATGCCTGGTGGAGTCCTGGTGGATAACCTGGTGGAGTCCTGGAGGAGTCCTGGAGGAGTCCTGGAGGAGTCCTGGAGGAGTCCTGGAGGAGTCCTGGAGGAATCCTGGAGGAGTCCTGGAGCGGGCATCTCGCGGAAGAGGCCTGTTGGCTGCAGCCGTCTCACTCCCTCTCGCGGCTCCAGAAGCTCCCCCAGAGGCTGCAGGGCGTCTGGAGAGGCGTCCAGTAGTTCCCCCGCGAACCACAGAGGGCGCCCCGGACGCTCAACATGCGCCTGTCAGCATGACAAACGCCCGGCAGGCAGGCAGGCAGGCGGGCAAGCAGGCCCCCCTCTGCACGGCGTGCCGGTCGGGCCCGCCTCTGGCCTACATCCTTCCCCTAAGGCCGTGCAAAACTGGTTTTGTAAAATTAAGAGCAGCGTCATTTTCACTCTTTGGAGGCGCGCCGCACAACGCCGTCAGTTTTCACTCTTTGGCGCCACGCCGCGCCACGCCACTGCATGCCGGTGGGCGTCGCCGAATTACGCGATTCGATAACGGGTCATTTGCATAAGGACTCACCGCGGTCGTCTACCTCGCACATTGCCAGAAGACCGGCGGAGGCGGACGAAATCCCGGACGCGTTTCGAGCTCCAGAGTCGCCAAATGGGACTCGAACCGAACGTGTGACCCCACCAACGGATTCCTCGTTCGGAGAGCAATCCATTGGTGGGGTCACA